GCATGTAGGTGGGCATTGCAAGGGGGGAATGGATGATGTACAGGAAAATGGAACTGGTGTTCATTTCTCTATTGAGCAGTTTCTTTTCTTTTTTGTTGAGCTGTACATATTTTACTTGATAATAAAGTCTTTATTTACCAAAAAAAAAAAAAAAGATTAATACTAATATTAATATGAAATTAAAAGTTAAGTTTTAAGGAAATAGCTTCCACACCTAAGAGCTTGTTTGGATGGTTGTTCCTGGTTGTATCGTATTGTATTGTTATTCCAAAACAATGTTTGTTTTGATTGTTTCGTTAAAATTGGTTGTATTGTATTGTAAATCCATTGTTCCGGAACAATGAAAAGTCCCTTTTTTTGAAACAACCGATTTGGTGTGGTGGGATCGTTTCCTATTTTTCTTTCCAGTTATGCCCTAACTTATTACTCCACAATTCTATTTTACCCTTTACCTTTTTTTCTATTTTAACTCCAAATCTCCAACTTTTAACCTACTTTTTTCGAGTACTTCTGCCGCCAACGTTAAAGGTGTTTTGCCGCCTTCTATTTTACTTTTTCTCCTAATTTGCTTTTAACTCAATTCTAATTAGTTGTGCTCCTTTGTTTTGCCTTCTTCTGTTCTGCTTTCTTAAGGTGTTTTGCCTTCTTCTGTTTTATTTTTTTAAAATTATTTTATGCATAATTTTTGATAAATTCAATATTTAAATAATTGAGGGTATTTTAGTAAACTTATCAGTTACAGTACAGTGCGATACAGTCAAACCAAACAGCAAAATATTATTTAACAATGACAAACAATACAATCTATTCAAACATTATATTCATAAAACGATACGGTACAATACGATACAGTACAATACAATACATTATAAAACGACGGGGAATAATGATCCAAACAGTCTGTAAGTAAAGGAATTTCTTTTTCCACCTTTGTTGGAAAATCTTTCCGAATAATCAAAAATTGAAAATTTTAACTTTTTCATGCGAAAAAATTATCCAGAATACCAAATTATCCACAAAAAGTTGAAGCCTAGTAAAGTACTTCAAAATTTAGAATCCTAGTATATGGTCCAACTTATGTAAAGAGTTCCAAGGTAAAGATACTTTTCTTTTGGGCCGGTTGCGGGCGAGGAAGGATTCAAACCTTTAACAACGTGGTTCTTAGCCACCTACTCTAATCCTCTGAGCTCCAAGCCCCACCCGGTCTCCACTAGATCTATTCTTGGGAGTACCCTAAAAAAAACCTTTCCTCTCCCCAGTCATTTCGGGTTGGATGCGAAAGAAGTTGCTGCTTTAGATATTTAACACATTTTCAAAAGAATTTTGGAAGGAAAATTACCTCAGAGCAGTTTCAATTAGAATATCTTTTTGGTATCTTCGAAAAAAAACAAAGATTTTTTTCATGTTACATGAAAGAAGTACAAAGGTTTATATAGCCTGTTTGGCCAAGCTTCTCTAAACTGAAAAATATTTTTTTTTTTCTTCAAAGTTGAAATGTTTGGACAAGCTTTTAGAAAGAAAAAAAAGTTTTTTTTGAGTAGAAGCAGAAGCAGTTTTGGAGAAGCAGATTTTGAGAAGCACTTTTGAGAAAATACAAGCTCTTTTTAATAGCTTGGTCAAGCACAAATTGCTGCTTAAAAGTGCTTTTCAAATTATTTAACCAAACACAAACTGCTTTTCACCAAAAGTACTTTTGAAAAACTGATTTTTCCAGCTTGGCCAAATAGGCTATTAGCATGTGAAAATGATGAATAAAGATCAGCTAACATAGATTCCAGTAGTTTCTGGGCAAATACGCAATCCAAAAATTAAAACAAACTGGGCAAATATGGCACACTGCGCTGCATTTAGCATTTCCAAATTAGTGCAGAAGCTGGTAAAAACTAATGTATCTGAACATATATAGTATAACTATAATACTGAATGCCCTTTCCAAGATGATAATTGAATTCGGTATCATTATGGAACTTCATACTCAATTATCCACGGAAGTACAAATTTAAATAGAAACATCCTCCCAAATGTCAGGAAACATCATCTCTCACCATATATCACAAATGTCACGACAAACAAAAGAACACTAAAATGTTAAAGAAACAATCTTGGAGCAAAAAATTAAGCAGAAGCATGTAGTTCAAGACTAGGAGTGGCAAAATGGTTCAAAGAAAACGGTTAACCACCCATATTATCCACTAAAAAATGGGTTGGATAATGAACTTTTTAAAACGGGTCAAATATGGATAAGAACCATATTATCCATTTAGAAAATGGATAACCAATGAGTAACCAATGGATAACCAATGGGTCTAACTTTTACATTTGTAAAGCATCAAATTGGGGGTTCCTCAAGTTAGGGAGACTAAGAATTCTCCCAAAAGTAATCATATACAAGAAGTCATGGATACCGGTTAACCTGTTTTTTACCCGTATTAAATATGGGTCGGGTCGGATAATTGATCCGTTTTTCATTACCCGTTTTACCCGAACCATATCCGACCCGACCCGACCGTTTGTCACTCCTATTTAAGACGCATTAAACCAAAACTGCATATAAATATGCAGTTGTCAAAACTATTTTTCCTCTCTTCTCTTTTCCATATTTAGAGTAAACAACTAAAAAGGATCTAACAGTCGGGGTTTTGACCTGAGTTTACTGTATAAAATAGGATAAACTAGGGAAAACACAAAGTAACAACAACAACAACAACAAACCAAGTGTAATCCCAAAGGTGGGGTCTGGGAAGGTTAAAGCTAGTGTACGCAGACCTTACCCCTACCTGTGAGGGTAGAGAGGTGGTTTCCAATAGACCCTCAGCTTAAAGAAAGTGAAAAAGAAGCAATAGCAATAACAGTAAGCAATAAACAATAAAACGATAGTAGATCAACCAAAGCAAAAGAAATAAGACTAGGAATAAGAATGAAAAACCGAAACACCAGGTAGTAAAAAAAAACACAGAGTAAATCATCTTTATTTGTCAGAACTATGGTTAATAACTCCAAAAAAATGGAAGAGAGAAGACATGATTGGTTCTCCTACTTTACGAAAGTAACCAGTGGGATGATAGTGTGGTTACTAACTTAACTTTGTTTACACAATTCAGCAGTCATAAATTGAACTATAGTAATAACTTATTCATAAATACTATAGAGGTGTTGAACCAGTTGGACACCTTAAAAATGGAGACAGTACTCCTCTCTTGAATACTGTAATTGATTTAGATTAAAACTCAAGCCAAACATACATTTTGGTTATCTCTATATTTCCTGCTTGATATAAATCTAATTTTATTGTTGTAAAAGCACGCAAAACAAGTCTTTGTCAAGCTAAAATCATCAGAGGACATAGGGGTAGTCACTTTAGTACTTTAAGATTCTTTAGCTCTCTTCGGGTTTTAAAACACAAGCTAAAATCCCCAAAAACTTGATGTATTCTTTGGTTATGCACTCTTTTTGTTGCTGGAATCTACGTTTCTCTCCTCGGGTTCTATTCTTAGATCCCTGAACTTCGGTGACTGATTTAGCTGGTTCTCTGAACAATCCCAATGTTTACTGAAGTAAATTTCACTCCTAATTTCCATAAAACTATCTGCGCTAAATAGAGAAATGACAAAAAAATACAGAGTACATAAAGAAATGCTAAAGTAAGGCACTAAAGAACAGAACTAACTGAGTTTGGCTAATGGCTTTTATCTTTAATGCATGAGCATCTGAAATTCCTCTAGAACTAGCTAGGCATACCAAATCCTTCTAGTAGGGTTTCTGGTTCTCAAAGTAAATTTTTTAAAATCTGTTGAAGTGCGTCATCTGTTTCAACAGAAGTAGTTCCGATAGTTGCAATAAATAGTGTAAAAATTAATGGGAACAAGAAGGAGCAATGACCAAAAAGAATTTAATCAGTGTGAGATGACTGAAAATTGTAAACTCAAGGAAGAGTTCATCGCTGTCTTGGGAGAAGTTGCTGTAGTAAATGGAATGTAGAATTAAGAACACAGAGAAGAATGTATAGCAGAGCAAAATTCACATTAGACGCTCCAAATAGAATCTCAATTAAAGAGATTTGAGATAGGACTTAATGAATTTAAAATTCGACAAATAATACAAACATGTTTAACACCCATGGAGAATGATACTTCTACCATTTCAAGTCCCCTGTCAAACATAAGGCATACAACTTGTAACTTCAAATTATGTTCTTGAGACAGCCAATCCACTCTGTTTAGTTTCTCACAATCAAAAATAGTCAACACCAAGCAAAGAGATCGGTGTAGTTAGACAAACTCAACAGGTTACCCGTAGTGATTTTAGATACACCCCTGTCCAACGTGCGAACTAGAATGAAACCACAAAACATAGAAACGTTCAGCCCATGAAGATCTCAAATTCCCAAACACTACCCAACTGAAAGACCATGCTGGCTTTCCAACATAAGGATGCAAAGAATTAAAACTTAATTTATCGCTATGAACCACAAGGAAAATTTAGCAGGAACATGCTAAGACCATTTAACAAAGAACTAGATACATCAATTTTCCCCGGCCTTCATTTTTTACAAGTATTTTCCATAATATTTCGTAAAGGGAAAACTGATATTAACGGAACTCATTCCCTTTCTTTTAGGAATACAAACCCTAGAAAAGACAGATCTGCGTGATCTCAAGGTCATAGCACTCCTTGAAAGGGGTTATAGTGGAAAACAAGAGTGGTTAATGTCACAGGAGTGGAAGTGTAAGTTCAACTGCTTCCACTTTCTGTCCCACTACATTCAAGGGGATATACACAATCACATTCAGCTCACAGAACATTTACAGGAGTTTCACATGTTTAAGATACACTATATGAAGCAAAAAGAACAAACAAGAAGCAAGGGACAGAAGTTCAAAGATGCAGAACAGGAGCTCTTGTTTCAAAGAAGAAAATGAGCAGAAAAGTTAACCTAAAAACACAGAGCATCCAAGTGTCAACCACAACGAAAGGACATAATCTTGCAACTACACACATGAGAAGCAGAAAAACACTTCATATAAATAAATCTATCTTGGTAGAACGCCTGTTCCGCAGGCGAAACAAGGCATCAAACTATGTCAAGCAGGCGAAACAAGGCATCAAACTATGTCAACCTTCACCTTTGTGAGTTAAAATACATTCTCAGAATCTTCTTAACTAGAGTTCAAACTAGCAACCAATATTAAAAGAAGCAGGCTCCTCAAATGGCCAATCTCTAGGGATTTGGCACATCTAATACTCTTGCTCTTGCTTGGAAGTTTATCAATGTTCAAAACAAGAATCATCCAACAAATTTACCATGATAAATGACTAACTCATTCACTTGTCACTTCCTTAGGGGCCAAGCATTACTGCCCTGCGAGAATAGTTCAAGACAAGCCAATGAGGCGAAATTACTTTGAACCTTTTCAGAACAATCTTTTGTACCTCCTCAAAAGAGCTGAAGAGAGACAAAGAAAATCCAATAAACTACGAAGTTTCACTAATGAAGACTTACTACCAATCATTCACATGAAAACTTAATAGGTAAAAGCAACAGCAATAAGATGGCAACCATACAAATGCAAGTATGTGATTGCTTTTCTAAATAACAGATACACAATTCATTTGCTCCTTGTCTACCAATTTTACTTATTACAACTACTCATGATGCAATTGAAAGTCCCCCATCGCTGTACAACCACAAAATTTACCAGAGACCGACATCAAGAAACCACTCGCCTATATATCCAAAATAGCCACAAATTTGCTATCAACAGGAACAAGGGGGTTTGAAAGTATAAGGCTGTGGAAGTGACAACGGACCTCTCCTTGACTCATTATCATCCAAAAGCCTCTGAACTTTCTTCTTAGCACAGTACTGCCTATCAAAATGCTTCACCTATTATACAGAAAAACATACTAATTAAAACCTAAAACAGCAGGGTAGAAAGTTAACATGCTTCTCAGTTTGGTACACTGGAAAGCTATTTGAAAAATGAAGGAACTGAGTTCTTTATTATTTTACTTTCAACCAATTACACACTCTTTCTTTCCTTTATTTTACTGCAATTTTCTGAAGAAATAAGTACATTTGCTATCAGCTTTCTCAATATCCAAATGAAATCCTCCAGAAAACTAAAACCCACCAATCCAATCAATCAATCCGTTACGCCTCAATCCCAAACTAGTTGGGTTAGACTATGTGTGTATTTGGTTTGACGGAACTCATTTTTCTTGGACAATATTTCCGGGGTTTGGTTGGGAGTGAAATATATACATGTTAAAGATTATTACTGATATTAACAAATCGGAGAGTGTTTTGATGAAATTATCAAATGCTAAAGATTAATAATAACATAAAAGTGAAGATTATTGTACGGAAAATGCCTTATGCTCATACGTGCGTGAAGTCATTTCCGATGGAAAATGTTTTTTCCTTGGTAAATAACTTCCATCATACCAAATACCAGAAAATAACTTCCTCAGGAGAATGTGAAAAGGAGTTCCTTACTACCAAACACACCCTATGTGAATCAATTATATCCATCTATTTCATTCAAAACCCAATCAATTATATCTATCTCAGTATTCTTAAACCTTACTGAGATTAAAAAGAAAAACTCACCCAAGTGGGTCGGCATTGCTTCACATAATCCTGCCTAGTTTTCTTGCAATCAGTTGGGTATAACAGCCCTACAGTCCCGATTTCAGTGGGCTTCTTGTTCGATTCTTTCTCCAGGCATGAATAAAATGCATCTCTCGCCTTCAATACCACAAATTCATTTCCCCCTTATTAGCTTTATCAATATTGATCACGATTCATACGAACATTAAAATAAAACACAAAATCACTACAACTGTCCAACCGAACACTGTGCTTTCAGCTCGTAATCACACACACACACACGCACATAAGTCTTTTAGAATGTGTATATAATTTATACATTTTATCATTATTGATCACAATTCATACGAACATTAAAATTAAAATAAAACAAAATATTACTACAGCTGGTCCAGCCGAACCCAGTGGTTTCAGCTCGTAACCCCACTCACACACACACGTTAGTTCTTCAAAATGTGTATATAGTTTACGCATTTTATCAATATTGATCAAAATTCCTACGAACAATAAAATAAAAGAATATTAGTACAACTGCTCCAACCGAACACAGTGCTTTCAGCTCGTAATCACACACACACACACATAATTTTTTTAAGATGTGTATATAATTTAACACATTTTAAAAGGGGCTTAAGTTATATACAGTGATGATCAGTATTATTTTATATAGCAGGTTAGTTACTACATTTACAATCTTATGAATTAATGTTGACCTAGAAATTTACCTATAATTACCTTATAACTAACATGATAGTGTAAAAAATTGTTTCGCATAAAACTTAAAAGTCTTTTAGTAGAGAAAACAAGCGTACCTTGTAGCAAGAAATTCGAGCTTTGGTGAGAACATCGGTGTGGATTTTGTCAGTGAGTTGTGATGTGTACGCTTCCAACGCCATTGTTAAACTGCAATTTTGAAATTGGGGAAGAATTGTTTTTAGGCGTTAAAAGTACAGTATATATATTTCTTGAAGAACAAGCTAGAATGTTGATACAGGCCCAATAACTGGGATGGGCCATTACTAGCGTAGTGGGCTAATAATATTTGGGCCGTTTGGGTTGAAGCAGCTGGCTCAAACAAAATATCATGGGCCTTTCATTTCATTTCAAATGTTACCCAGGAAGTGAACGGGGATGTGAGGCTTGATACGCAAGTCATTCTCAGGAGAGAGAGTTTCGGATATTTGGGGTCTATAATTCAGAATGATGGGAAGATTGATGACACATCGTATCGAAGCAGGGTGGATGAATTGGAAGTTCGCTTTTCGGTGTCTTGTGCGATAAGAATGTGTCGTTGAGACTTAAGGGTAAGTTCTACAAGGTAGTGGTTAGACTGTCTATGTTGTATGAGGTAGACTGCTGGCCAGTCAAGAACTCCCATGTCCAGCAAATGAAAGTAGCTGAAATGAGGATGTTGAGATTGATGTGTGGGCATACTAGGTTAGATAGAATTAGGAATGAAGTTATTCGGGACAAGGTGAGAGTGACCCCTATGGAGGAAAAGATGCGAGAGGCAAGGCTAAGATGGTTCGGCCATGTTAAAAAAGAGAAGCACATATGCCCCAGTCAGGAGGCGTGTGAGGTTGACCTTGGGGGATAAGAAGAAGGGTAGAGGTAGGCCAAGAAGTCTTGGGGAGAGGTGATCAGGCGGGATATGGCGCAACTTGAGCTAACCGAGGACATGGTCCTGAATAGGAGGGTGTTGAGATTGAGGGTTAGGGTACAATGTTAGTAGGTAGTCGTGCGTTTCCCTTTGTCTTCATTAGTTCGATAGTATTAATGTTAGTATAGTACCCTTTTTATCCCTAGTTTGCTATTATCACATATCTTGTTCTGTTATTACTTATCAACACTTTCTTAATTTGCTATCAGTACTACTTTTACATTCTCTATTGTTATCTTGGATTTAGTTTTCTAAATATATTGTGTTGCTATTACTTGTTATCGGTACTTCTGTCATATTCTCTATTGTTATCTTCGATTTAGCTTTCTAAATATATTGTCTTGCTATTACTTGCAATCAGTGTTTCTTCCACCTTCTTTAGCAGTTTCTCTGCTCTTCTAGGGAGGGATAACGTTGCGCACATCCTACTTTCCCCAGACCCCACTTTTGGGATTCACTGATAGCCTGAAGTTGTAAGGTATTTTTGCACAAATAGCCAATCGGATTCATTTCAATTTACTACTTAGCCATGTAATAATTACCTCCCTTCTCTACAGCTACTTGTGAACCAAATGGTTTTTAGAGGGATGTAAATTAAGAACCAACAGTAAAGACGTACTCGACTATTTATCCCAACGTAACGAATATATGACATTTATCTTTAGACACATTCTTACATATTCTCGGTATATGAATTATATGATTTGACCATGCGAAATAACCTAATATAGGTTGATATAAATATCGGGTACGAGTAAATTTCTACCAAGAATGATACGCATTTTGCTACATATTTCCTATGGTTTTGGTAATTCAAACTAGTTCTAAATTCTGATTATTGATATAATCACTTTCATTGAAGTACCTATGTCGTAAAAATAACTTCTTCTTTTTGTTTTTTACCAATAAGGGTTGTGGTGGAGTGGTAAGTACTCTTTCATCCTTAATCAGAGGTCTCGGGTTCGAGTCCTTGGGTATGGAGTCATCTTTGTTAGGGAGCACTTTACCCCAAATTAGGGGTGTTTAAAATCGAACCAAAACCAAAAACCAAATCGCAAAAATGACTTATTGGCTTATTGGCATTGGATTATCGGATTAACGGGTGGTGATCAATGGATTGAAATTTTATAATTAACGGCTTATCGGTTTAGGGCGGAATATTCGATTTTTTTGTCGGATAAACCGTTAACCCGTTAAGAATTTTTATAGTTATATTTTTATTCCTATGTATATTAAATATCTCTTCCACTAATTTTGAAACTCTAAAATCTAAATTCCTAATTTCTCCTCCAAGAACTGTTAGCTGCATCAATTGTATTTTGGATGTCTCCGTCAATTGTTCTAGATTTATTTCTAAATTTTCATTTTCATAGTTCTAGATTTTATTAACATCAGTGATTATATATATAACTTATAAGTGTCTTTGCAAACAAGAATATCAGTTAAACAAATAGTTGTACTGATAAATAGCGGTATTGCAGTAACAAAAAAACATTAGACTTTTAGGCAGGTATAGATCAAGCAAATTAATATAAATGACTATAAATTTAGTGATTTAATGCCAAGTGATATATGCACTCATAGTCTATTTAATTTAGCTGATAACCGCTCGATAATAACTAAATTGATACCAATCCATTCGATATCTTATCGGGTGGCTAGCGGATTAATATATTTATTAGCCGATAACCGATAACCGATAAACCGAATCGTTAAGCATAAATAACCATTCAATCCGCGCGATAAGCAGCCCTATCCCCAATATGGGACTTTCCGGCGCAAATTCAAATTTAGTTGGGCCCCAATATACATGCCGAACACCGGGTGGGAAACAAAAAAAATGTAACTTTTTTTGTTACAATAATGAAGCAAAAGTTTTGAGTTAACTCAAGAAAAAATAATCCAAATATAACTAAATTTCAGGTCGGTCTTACTTTATACCTAGTAGCTAGTAGTAGTACACAAGTAGTACCTCATAACCTATTTATTCCTTGCCCAAAATTGGACAAAAGCATACATCCTTTTCATGGGAGTTCAAATTCAATGCATCAATATAAGGTTCATTCCATGTGCTTGAATTGGACTTGACTACAGTACTCTTTTTGTCCGGGACTAACAATTGATTTAATTGACTTATAAGTCTTTGGTTCATAATGAATTTTTACGCATATAGCCGGTCAAATTTATTGTATATTTTTTTATTATATTCCAAGCTTATTTTCTCAAAAAAACTTTTTTATGAGCCGAGGATCTCGATATGTGAATTGATTGACCTTAGGATATCGTAACAAAAGATAATACTCCCTCCGTTCCAATTTATGTGAACCTTTTTGACTGGGCACGGAATTTAAGAAATAATGAAGACTTTTAGAATTTGTGGTCCTAAATAAGTCAAAAATGGGACCAGCGTATTTGTGTGGTTATAAAAGCTTCTCATTAAGGGTAGAATTGTAAGTTTAAGCTAAATTGTTACCAAATATAGAAAGGGGTCATTCTTTTTGGAACGGACCAAAAAGTAAATAGGTTCACATAAACTGAAACAGATGGAGTAAGATATTGAAGATCTCTCTTGAAATGCACTTAACTACATGTAAATGAGCATATCAACTTGATTTTAGTCAACGATATATACATTCAGACATCTATGTCATCCTTTATAACAATATTTTTGTTATAAATAGAATTTTATTTAAGGTGAATGTTTATATTTTAGAGAGATTTTAGAGATTTTACTTGGTGGCTAAGTCACTCTTTCCCTATAAATAGAGGGGTCATATTCCATTGTAATTCATCTCAAAGCAATAAGAATTCTCTCTCTCTTTCTTTGCAATATTCTTCTTTAATTGTTTTATAACACGTTATCAGTACGAGACTCTAACCAATTGAGTAGAAGCTTTGGGATTGAGCATAATGATTGTCAATTGTTCCATGAACTTCTTTCATGATTAAATTCTGGATTTAAGGTAAGTATTTTACGGTATTTTTCTCTTTTATTCTATAATATGATTTTAAATACAAGCAAAGACAATAAATTTTGATTATAACTCTAATGGAGTTAGTAAGAACTTATAAACACTCAAAATGGTAAAATTTCTCCGTCTTGCCATGATCAAATTCATGTATGATTGTGGGCAAAGAAGTGGAAACCCGTCCCACTGAATTTGCTTCATTCTCATTCCCTTAAGAGAATGTGGTAGCAATATGTAATAAGTTTGAAAGAAGATAAAATTATTACTGTAAAGGTATCAATGGATGTAGACGTGGTAATAGACAAAATTATAATCGTCATCATCGTGGTAAGGAGAATAATAAGGATTCTCAAAATAATCTTTCACTCTGTGAAAGTAATGTTTGTCATCGATTTGACAAAAAAAATTTAAAGCACATATGGATGATTATGGTCCATTCATGATGTGAATGTGACAACATGTGATTTACGAAAATATAATCATTCTTGAAAGAATATGAACGTGCTAGTGGTAGTAAATATACCACACTCACCTATAGAAGGAGGTTTGAGATGGATTAAGAAAATAATTCCATAATTATGGCATGAATAATCATTGATCACATAACTATTGTGATTATGGCAAAATATTATGGCAATGTGATTATTACAGGGCAAAAGTAATAGAAGCGACATATCTTGTCTATAATGATTTTGACCATGATCATAATGATATAACTTTCTCTTTAAAAGAGATATTCACCATATGGATGTTGATGAATATGGGGTAGTACCAAATTAATGGATAGCTTCGAAAGAGCCAATTATTACTATTTTGGAGGAATAAAATTGAATATCAATAATGCATTGTGTTGTAGTAAGTCCCAAAGAAACTTATTTAGTTTCTAAAGTATTCGCAAAAGCGGTTGGTTATATTGAGATTATAAATAAAGAAAAGATTTAATAACCTCTGTTACTATAACTTGTAGCGGGCTAATATGTCACGATCCAAAATTCACTAAGGGTCGTGATGGCGCCGGACACCACTGTCAGGCAAGCCAACACCAATTTACTTGTAATTTCTTGTTTTAATAACTTCGAAATCGTTTCTTTTATACATTAAACAATAAGTAATGAATTTCACTGAATAGATATTTATGTCTTTAACAAACTTAATATTAAACAATCCCATAAACATCCCAGAATCCGGTGTCACAAGTGCATAAGCAATTACTAAGAGATCGAATAAAGTGCAATAACTGTCCGGAATACAAATTGGACAGAAAGTAAATACAATACGCTGAAAGAGACTATACTGGCT